ATTAGTAGGATAGCTATTTACTACAATTTCCATGCAATTTCATCAAGTTTAACTATTATTCAGTGTGATGGTTTAAAGCGCTGATCAGAATCCATCTACACATTTTGAAAATTGCAGTTTCCCTTTATTTTTGCTGACTCCAAAAATTCTCTCTTTAGAAATCTCTTGCTTATTATCCCCCTCCAAAAAATAAGGAATTTCCAGCCTTGTTGTACAAGGTATTAAATTACATCCTTTTTTCTAAACTAGAAAATCTGCTTTCTCTTAATGCATGTTCATCTGAACTTTAAGGACATAAGTGCAGTGACCCATTAAAGCTTCCTGTAGCAACAAAAGCTGAAAGTAAGGCCTTAGGCCCATGCAATTACCTTTTTTTTCTCCCCAAATTAGTTTAGACCAGCCTGATTATTACCCAACAGGGTCCATGTAGCTACTCTATAGCATTGCTCCCACACAAGCCTTTCCTTTTTTTTTTACTGATAAGTTGTGAGTGCAAATTTAATCCAAGGTGCTGAACATCTTCATATGTAGTTATTTCTTAGATTTCTTTCTGCTGATCAGTTTTACTATTTAATCTGTACAAAGAGAAGTTACGTTTTGTAACCATTCACTTATTAAAGAAATATTAGGTGTCAATTAACCCTTATCTTCTTTTAATTTTGAGCAATGTTCTTTTTTTCCTACACAAGGCCAAAGCATTGGCCTTCATTTGAAGTTATTGCACTACTGCAAACTGCAAATTATCACGTAACATCATAGTAAAATATCAGAAACTTTTTTAGAAGTAATACAATGAAATATCAAAATAGTTCGAATGAGTTGTAAAACGATACCGTGTAGCAGAACAAACCCAGATTAAATCCAATCTGCAAAAAGGCCTCAGCAAACAGGAACCCTTTTACAATATAAGGCATGTGTTTTTTATGGTACAGCTAACCTGCCCATGTTTCCCTTTTCAGCGTTCACAACTGAAGGCAAATAAACAGAACACATAAGTCAGTATAAGTGACTTGCATCAGTGCACACTTAAAGTTATTGCCTGTTTTGGAGGCTTTCAAAAAGAAACAGGACTGACGTTATGGACGTGTTGGTTGACTAAAACTAAAATCTCTGAGTCTCAGTGTTCTGGATTTCATCTCAGGCACAAATGTTTCTGTCGTCTTTCTAAATAAAAGAGAAAATAAATCAAATGTAAAGCGGGGGGAACCCTCCTTGATCTAAAAAAGGCATTCCTTTCAACCACTAAGCACCTTGAATTTCCTGAAAAGCATAACTTCTAGGTTGGAAATGTTTGAAGCTAATAAATGAACTGTTACATTTTTTGGGCAGCTAAACTGTAGAGAAACTAATTTGGCCAAAGTTCCTCCTGCAGAGGGGAGGAGGAGGGGGTGGTATAATAAGGGACAGGCCAGCAGCAGCCTTGTCATTAGCCGGGAGCCTGGAAGACCCCTGCTGCCTAATTGGCATCGGCTCTGCGCGAGCAGAGGCTTAGTATCAGCAGGGGAAACAGAAGTGAAGCAGCAAGGGGCTCCTATGATCAGCCTTAAACTGAACTCAAAAAGACCTGTACAAGTCGCCGATGGAACACCTGAACTATTAATGCAAGAAATGGAAAGCTGATGTCTTTTTAATGATGACAATAAACTTGTGGTTCAGCTGCAGACCAGGCTTACCTGTTCAAGAGGTGGGCTGGCAGGATGCACTAAGGGTCCCATTTAAAAGTGACCTGAGTGATTAAATAGACTTACATCTTTTTGAGATTTTTCCTGCTATCTAGAGCAATTCTGCTGAGGCTTTTCGCAATAACTCTGCAAAGTCACTTCCTAACCACTTCCATTATCCTTTAGGCACACACTGTTGTAATAAGAGTGGTAATAATAAGCAGATGAGTGGCTGTTCTGTCTGTGAGTCTTTCAAAAATAAGGAAACAATAAATGGGCGCCTATCTGATGAGTGCAGGAAGTTTGCAGATTTATGGTAGCTTTAATCTTCTGAAATCAATGGCTGTCATCTGGGAACAATAAGGACGAAATGAATATTAAAATGGAACTGCAAAATGGAATATCAACAGGAACTGGGGACATTTATCACCAAAACAAACAAAAGAAAGAAACTTGGCAAAATCACACTACAGCTCTTAGTCTATTTCTGAGAGCAGTGATGTGTAGTAAAGCCGGAAAACTCACAGTGGAGCTTATTACTCTTTAGAAAAAAAAACTCCCCGTCATTTATGAAATGTAAACATTGACACTTCTGACACCCAGATGGAGATCATGAATTAAACTACCAAGGTCCTCAGTTCATCATACAGTTGGGTCATGAGCATCACATTTTATTAAATCCCTGCTCGAGGAGTTAACCTAAAAAACATACAAAAGAGGTGAGAAGACTGAAATGAGAGGACACTCAGATCTTGCTGCGTAAGTCTGGGTTTTAAAGAATAGGAAGAATGGTGTCAAATTCAGAAGAAGGATCCGCAACAAAGCTTAGCCTGGTGAAACTGAAGAGCTTGTAAAAGCCTGCGCTGGATAATTACTCCTCGAATGAATACGTTGTCTGACGGCGATAACAGCTGTTTATTCTGTCTGCTACTGCTGTACAGAATTACTGTAATCCCCCCAAATCAACCAGAATGAGTCAAAATGCAAACGCAGCATTTCTAGAGCCTTACATTTAGGGGCAGTATCTCTTCTATTGGCTGTTGAAAGCTATAAACTTCCTTGCTGTTCACCATGGCAGATTTACTGAAATATTATTTTTCATTATGGTCTTTGTATTTATATTACAAAGACTGGCAAGATCAGTGAGGATTTTGCAAGCAAATAAATCCTAATGAGAAAGAAATCAAATCCTCCACAAAGCAACCATATCATATACTTACACCCCTGTTCTGAACCATCCACATCAATGCCTTTTGCACCATATCTTTCCTACACTGTTAACATTTTGATCACTGCTGCACTTATTGAAAAGAAATTTTCATCTTCACTGCCAAGCTGCTACTCATTCATTGTCGAAAAGCTGTATGTAACAAAATATTGTTTTGTAAATACTTTGTGTACAAAATGATAAAGGTTGATGTCTAAGTCTAAGTCTTTATAGCCACTGAAGAACTTTCCTGACAACTTAGCTTAACAATGGATATGTCTGCATGTCTGTGGAGCTGTTGTAGAGTGAGCCTTCAAGCAGGTTGGCTCTTTTCCTGTCACGTCTCCATCCCACACTAATGCTCCATCAACCATAGGTGTGTCTGCCCCAGGCTACACCTTTAATTGTTTTCACTGTTCGGAGTCCCCCCACAGGCCACTTAATACCACAGATAACTTTAAATCCTGCCAACTGCTTGATAGTTTCAATCTGAAAGGGTCGGATGAAAAAAAGATCCCTCCTCACTCCCCCTTTTTATTTCTTCTCTTAGAAGACCAACTTTTTCAACCTTCACTTTAGGCCTATTAGGGTTAATCCCATCCTCCATGTATATCTGCAGAATATCTGCTTCTTACATAAAAACTGGACAGCATTATTAGTTTAAAGGTGATATGATCATGTTTAAGATGACTGGTTACAGCTATCGGCTAACACTCAACTCAACAATGAAATCACAGTGTTGTAAAAATAATGTATATTCTAACTCCCTGCTTTATTCTGTTTTTGTCAAATGTAAAAATTACAGACCAAAAAACTACTCCTAATATTGAAATAAAACACCACTAAAGATATATATATATATATATATATATATATATATATATATATATATATATATATATATATATATATATATATATATATATATATATATATATATATATATATATATATATATATACTATTTATAAGGAAAAGACAGCTATTTAAGCAAACTTGGGTCTATATGACAAAAGCAAGGAAAACAGTACGAGACCATCATACTATCAAAGCCATGTTTTGCTGAAGATCTTTCTCTGTAACACTTTGTGTGCTTTACACCAAAGGTAAAACATAGAGCTTACAAAAAACAACATAGTTTGAAGTCTTGGGAACCATCAAGATGCTTTTGTATTATGTTAGGCAGCAGTTGTCTTCATCATGAAACTGTCTAAGCAAGTGGGGGGAGGTGATGGCCTAGTGGTTAGAGCAGTGTGCCTGTGCTCTGAGAAGGTTGCGAATACGCGGTTAAATCCACACAGCCTCCACTCTGGCTCCCTCAGCAGGACCCTTAACCCCACACTGTGCCACAGATTGGCAGCCCACTGCTCCCCAAGGGGATAGATTAAATGCAGAGGCAAATTTTTCCAGTGTGAGATCAATAAAGTTCAATTACGGGCATTCAGAAGGTTTGCTCTCTGGGCTACAAACAGAGTATTTGATTTCTCATAACTTTGCCCATGGTAAAGTCCCCGGAACCATGGTAGAAAGTGCTCTGGTTGAAACCAGTGTTGACTTGCATTAATCTAGCAGCGGCTAAGACATTCATGTGAACAGAGCCCTGAGATCGCTTGTCGACTTTGTCAGAGTTAATAGTAATGCAAACGTTCTGCATGTAACTCTTCAATAGAACAGGGCCTATTCTACAAATTAGCATTTTTAGGGGAATGTGGCCTAGTGGTTAGCGCACTGCACTTCGAATCCAGAGGTTCTGAGTTCAAGCCCCACTCCCATATTATGACCCTGAGCAAGTCCCGTAACCCCACACTGTTCCCGGGCGCCACACAATCAAAGCCCACATTGAAATATGAAAAAAAAATAAGTAAAACAAAAAAAAGCTATTAAGGAACGAATACTTTTTTCCAGCACTTTATAATCCATCTCAGGTATGTGTGCACCTACAACTCTAATCATTACTATTATTCTTTGTAGTGGATCGTGAAATTACACAAGTGCAGTCCTTATTTTCTGCTTATTGCTGCACTTTTTATACTTTAGAGTACATATTTTTTACAACAGTATTTCTCTATTTTATGTCGATTCAATGTCAAATAAGATTTATTCTTTAGTAGGTGCATGTAAATGTGAATAACCTTTTGGTCTCTGAATGCAGGTATGCTGGTTGTCACTCAGTAGGAATCCTTCTCTGCAGCGACACTCATAGCTGCCCATCATGTTGACACAAATCTGTTGGCATCCACCGTTGCCTTCTGAACATTCGTCCACATCTGCCAGAAAAAACAAAGACACACCAATTAACAATAATAGTTCAAAACAGAATAAAAATTCCATAAATATTATTTGCAGGGTTTGACAAAATGCAATGATGTGATATATGTGTTATTTACTCCAAATTGTTAAAAACCAGTTTAATGAAATGCTTAGAAACTTCAAGTTGTAATTTGAAATCAAAAGCAAAATTAAGAGCAATTAATAAACAAATCAACAGCAAGAGATAAAAAAATAGAAATATTTGGTCTTAAAGTGTCAGATACCAGAGCTCCATTTAAAATCCCCAACCATGTAGCACTAAGCTATAAAAATGCAAATGCAGCACAATCCTTCAAAAGACACGAAACCTGACCCACCGGGGCCAGAGTACCTGCTGATGACGAGTGTCTGCCCTGTGACGGGAGGAACGCAAGGGATGGGTGCGGGGGATAGTGAGAGAAGAATGGAGTTTTTTATTTTTTTTTTTTAGTTGTGCTTTTCTTTTTCAAAGTAAGTGGGAGAGTGAATCTACTTCTAGTATTCGAGTATTTAGGATGGTGTTGCATGGAGCTTGCTTGTACCCCAAGGCAAGAAACTGACACTCACTATGTGACTCCTGACTCAAAGACTGACTCAAATCCTTAATAAAACTCCTCTCTACCTAAAATATCCCAAAAGCAAAAAAGAAAAAAAAAAAAATACTCAAATGAACAGACATTTAAAATCTTAAAGGTTTAATACATTTTGTAGTTTCAAATAAGAATGCAAAGTTTGGCTTGTTTTTGTCTGAAACCTACAGGATTATTGATCATACACATTGAACACAGTATTACCACAATATTAAATACCACAGTTTTTCAACACATGATTAACTACTATTTATAGGATTTTTTTTTTTCAGATTTAAAACTAAAACCAGATAGAACAGTAATGTAAAAGGAAAACCGTGCATTGCTTCCAACAAATAAAAGCCTAAAATTTGCGGTTGTCATTTATGTTCAGCCTTCTTTTTAGGTATTCTGCAAACAGTGGTGAGCATCTTGAAAACCTAATCTTTGCTCATGTTTTTTGTAGAAAAAAAGCTCAGGCTCAGTCAGATCAAAATGCTTGTGAAATGTAACTTCAGGTCCTCACAGGAACTCTGTTTCTTTTAAGTCTGGACTTCGACAGAGAAATTCTAATACATGAACATGCTTTGATCTGGATCATTCTTTTTAGTTTACCTCAATGTTTAGGTTGCTGGAACAGAAACCTTCACCCCTGTCTTAAATCTGCACATTTAGGCAATAGTGTCTTCTAACATTATCCTGTTTAGTTCCATCCACCTTACCCACTAAGCTGACTGCTTTCCCTGCTGGAGAAACTTCTCTCCAGCAGCATCCTAGGGGAGTGGTGGCCTAGTGGTTAGAACAGTGCGCTCTGAGAAGGTTGCAAGTACCCTATTTGATCCCAACAGCCTCCACTCTGGGTTCCTGAACAAGACCCTTAACCCCACACTGCTCCCTGGATGCTGCACAGTGGCAGCCCACTGCTCCCAAAGGGGATAGGTTAAATGCAGAGAGTTAATTTGTCCATTGTGAGATCATTAAGGTTCTATTTCTATTATATTTTCTATTTCTATAATACTGCCACCACCATGTGTCACAGTGGAGCTCGTCCAGAGTTAAGAGAGACATCTTTACTGTTTTTTCTGAATTATGCTCTTCATGCAATTTGTGGCTGTCCTTTTTGTTTGCTTCAAAATTTAACTTTAACGTTTTATACATCTTTAACTATTACCTCTTGGTCAAGTTTACCAAATTACCAGCAAACCTATAGAGAAAGATTATTTCAGCTGCTTGCATCTGGGTTCCTATAATCTCAAGACAATAGACATTAAATTAAAAGCTTCACTTTTTGGTTAAGCTCTTTTTTTCACCATGACAGACCAGATATCAGAGTTACAGCAGAAACAGTAATCAGTGTACAGCAGGGCTGAACGATTTGGCCATAAATGAAAAGGGCAAAAAAATTTTACCAATATTGTGAATGCAATTTTATTTTGATATTCCTTTTGAAATAACCACAAGCGTGTAAATGTTTTATTTTTGGGTTTCAGTTTTTCATGATCTTGAAATTTTGCTTGTCCAGAGTCCATTCTTGCAGGACTGTACTGTAACCTTTATGTGAAAAAGATCTAACTTCTACTGGCATGCATGAATCTTCAAGTTAGCTGCAACTCTCTCTACATTTCTGTCTGGAGGCAAACATACTTCAAGCATACTGCAGTGAGAGATTACTGTCTTTCTCTTGCTAAATGTAACTTTACCAAAATTGAGCACCTCCGTGATTTGAAAATTATGGTTTTTTTAAATTGTGACTATATTGCAAATGCATTTAATTGCCAAGCCCCAAAAATTTCTAATCTATCTATCATTCTCCTGCTCCATCCTGCAATAAGAGATACTTCAACTGTATGACTAACTAAAATAAAATCTCTGTTGTATACACAAGCTTTTTTGCTTTATGAATATTATTATTAAAGGGTCATCCAAAACTAATCCACTGTCTATTTGTCCAGTCAGATTAGGTTTAAGTTTCCTTTCTGGGGAATTTTAAGAAATGAAACATTATTCCTCATGTTTTCTTTTTCCGTTTAACAGCTCAATAATCATTGTATTATTCTAAGTAATAAGAGTTGAGTAGAAAGTCAATGGGGGTAGCATTCTAGTCTTCTGTCATGTTCTTCCAAACCCTCACCAAATCTGTCTCTTTTCCACAAAGCGCAATGTGATATGTATGTTGAGGCTGATATGAAAAGTGTTCATCTACAGCTCGGTGAGGGAGAGCCCTCTAGAAAATAAATACAGTGAGACTGACATAAATGCAAAGAGGAGAAGAATGATAGAAGTGGTGTCCTCATAGTGCAGACACTGCTGCAACTGTATATTTGCAGATAAACTGTGAGCAGGTACCAAGAAACCTCCACAGTCAAAGAAAAATATCCTTACCTATATGCATAGAATCGCTCCCCGCTCAAAGAAGATATAAACACAGAACAAAAACAGCAAGGTTTTACACCCAAATTGTCCACAAGTTACCCAAAGTGCCACATAGTGCCCATGGGGAATTCTGTTTCCATACCATCAGTGCATCAATGAAGGTTTAATTTCCTGATTCTTTCATCCCTCCAAATGAGGCGTTGGCTGTCAGTAGATCTTCCTTGTTCAAATAGCTCCCATAATTGCCTGTGTTTTGTGCTGGGAAAGGCTGGCGTCCAAAGCAAATATTTCCAAGCGGAAAGGGGTTTTGGCATGGCTTGAAGAAGTGCTCATGTTATTTAGGCTTAAAACTGTTTTTTAAAAATTCTCTAGAGGATGAGAGGGAGAAAGAAACAAGTTTTAATCAAGTGAAAATGGCTGTCTCACCCCTGAAAAATGAGACACACCGATGCTCATATCTTACTTCACTTAAGAAGATGAGGGGGGAAAGGAGCATTCAAACTGAGAGAGATTAAGGGATTGGTTGTATTTGCGGAGGCCATGTCCGCTGGTTTCTCAGATAGCCTTGACTGTATATATAACATTTGGTCTTGCGCAGAGCCTTAGAGCCATGTAAACATGGCGGGCGCCTTACAAAAACTCCTGAACTCTTATTTGGAGAAATACTCAACTCTTTCACTCTCTCTCCCTTTTTTTAAGGATTCACTGACTTTGAGGGAGTTTATAGCTGACTCTGACTTTTTTTTTCTGAGGCCAGAAATGAAAAACTGCAGCTATCTGTCATCTAAGCTGTCTATGCATCCGTCCCAATGCAGGGTCGCTGTCTGCATTAAACTTAACTTTTTTCTGTGGTTCAGACAGACCAGAGACAAGGAGGTGGGTTGACACACACTAGCCTCCCCTAGTTTTTTTATTTGCAAAAGGTAAAGAAATGCATGGAATTGAAATGTAACAAAACAGTTTTTTTGTTTTTTTTTTAAGTCTTCATTCTTTATTTTAGTTTCCCGTTGCTATAAGGCAAGGGCTACAAAAAATAATCTAATTATTTTCGGTTTTAAAACTGCAAAAATGTTTGATTTCTATGATTAAAAGCCAGAGAACATGTTACAGTGTCCAGAGTTCTCTACAGTTGTATACATGGAGAAATGGTTTCTGACCGTCTCTAATTGGTTGCTGCACACTTCCAGCCAGTTTTCCTGAAAGGTGCTTCTACACTTAACAAGAAAGACACATTTGAATGTTTGAAACAAGTAACTGAAAATCAGGTAGTGAAATTAATGGGTGCAGAACATCACTCTTACTAAGGTTTATTAACCTTAACCCCAGACTGCTCCCCAGGCGCCGCACAATGGCAGCCCACTGCTCTCCAAGGGGATGGGTTAAATGCACAAAGTACTTGTACTTGTGACAGTGTAATGACAATAAATTTCTATTCTTCTCTATCTGTGAGCATAGAGATGATGTACCTTGGCAAAAAGTTCAATTTCTGTCTCATCTTTCCATAGGACATTCTCTCAGAAGCTTTTTCACTTAACATGTATTTTGGAAAATTCCAGTCTGGCTTTTCATGATCTGCTTTCAACAATGGTGTACCACTTGGTTGTCTCCTATTAATTCCACTTTGCACCAAACGATGACTGATGGTTCGATCTGAAACTGATGTTCCTTGAGCTTGAAGATCACTTTTAATCACTTTAGAAGTTTTTCTGAGCTCTTTTGTTACCAATCATATTTACTGTCTCTTTGATATGTCATATATTTTCCTGCTGCGGCCAAATCCAGGAAGATTGGCTAAAGTCCTATGGACCTTAAAATATCTGAATGTCTTCAACTGTAGTTACAAGGACATCAAGCTGCTTGGAGATGGTCTCATAGCGTTTTCTTTTAATGCTTTTCTATAATTTTCTTTCTAATCTCCTAAGACAACTATTTCCTTCACTTCCTCTGGTCCATGTTGAGGGTGACACACACTATGCACTGAACCACTGCAACTTGCACACTGTCTCTTATCCTCTGCACTGTTCACACTTTGACCA